AGGATTTCAACTGAGGCAACCTGAATTACATACCCACCTGGCCCAAACAACAGTAGACTAAGAGAAGGGAAATGAGAGAAATGGATGCTTCCATTCAATACACAGAATTGAAGTCAGGGAAAAATTTCCCAGACAACATGAAGCAGACAAGACAAGGGAAGTACAGCAGGGAAGAAAAACTCAGTTCTGAGCTTCAGAAATTTAATACTTGCTATAAAACAGCAATAACTTGGAGGGGAGAGTCAAGAAGCAAGTAGACCAGATACGCTATTCCGATTATCTCAGTAAAATATAATAAATATTTGAACTAGGGCTGGAAAAGAAAAAAAGAGTATTATTTAAAGAACTGATTCAGGGTGAAATCTATTCACTACCAAGACCAGTTGCTATTGAGTCAATACTGAAATGTAAGGAACATACTGACAAAAATTCCTAGCAGGCAATTTGAAATACATAACTAGGGTGAGCATAGAGATTTAGATTTAGGGATTGTCAGGGCAGAGGTGACAGCTGAAGTCAATGAGAAAATGAAATCATTTGAGAGAACTGGAAAGGGAGCCTAGCATTCAATACAAGCAACAGCAGTAAAAGTTACTTTGAAAATCAATTGGCTCCCTTTTGGTTTTGGGGGGTGTTTTGTGGGGTTTTTTTGCCCATCCTTCTATGGAGCAGCTGGAGGATCCAAATTATGTAGCTTCAGGTTGACAACACAGCTCCTTACCACTAGACCACCAGAGCCTCCTGAGCTAAACTTCTCCAGCTTTCCTTTTGTTTTTCATATTTTACAAAATTAGCATTCCCATATACTATTATTGAAATATAAATTGGCAGTATTTGTAGGGGGATTCGGTGACCTCAAATCAAAATTTGCTACCATTTCACTTCATCTCACATACTTTGAGCATGTTATCAGAAGGCGCTGGTTCTTGAAAGAGATCATCATACTTGGAAAGTGAGAGGTCAGCAAAGACAAGGATCCTGAAATGGATTTACACAGTACCTGCAATGGACTTTATCACAGGAGAGATTGTGAAGCCGGGCAGAGTCAGGTAAGGATTTTCTCTCCATAGACAGGGCTTCTAAGTTGGAGTCAACTTGATGGCACCTACCAATAACACTATCATTCGACTCAGCAAGTCTTCTACTTAAAGCTAATAGTACAAATATATTCTTTCACAAGGTCAAAGATATATGTACAAGAGAGTTGACTTCAGCCTTTATTTGGTAAGAGAAAGAAAAGGCTAAGAGGGAAGGAAGAAATGAACTATCTAACTGTCCATCAATATTGTGCTGACATTCTACATTATTGTAGTATGTGAATATTCCATTAAAAGTAGTAAGTACCTTGACATCATTCATAAAGAATGACAGCTTCTCTGGAGGCTAACATGGAAAGACCACAATGATATGTGATATTAAGAAATAAAAAATGCAGCAATACCAGAGATGTGCGGTTCAAATCCACCAGAAGCTTTGCTGGAAAAGGAGGAACAATCTCCTCCTGTACCAGTCAGATCTGATTTGACGGTACACACACACAAATAAAAAAAAATAAAAAGAAAAGAAAAGAAATAAGGCAAGCTAATTCAGAACTGACTGTAATTGAACACAGGCTAAAAGTATTCATGGATGGATTGACAACATGGCATGAGCTACCTGATTTTTGTAGCTGCTAAATCTTCCACTTCTTTGTTTGCAGTTATGTAACAGTTGTGTCTTAAATTATGCAATAAAGCAATCCTGTTAAGATTTTTTTCCAAGAAAAAAAAGAAATAAAAATGCAGATGAGTATATATATAAAATATTCCTTCAGTGTAAATAATAAATTCTAGTTCCATTTAATTGGCAGAAAAGCCACAAATATGAGACATTGAAATGTACAGTTTAAAAAAAAAACAACAAAAAACAAAAAAACTCTACACTAAGGCAAGGAAAAAAATCCAGAGAATCAGGAAGGATTTGGCAGGTACCACACAAGGAGCAGCCATGCTTTCTGTCAAGATTCAAGTGACATCAGCAATGATATCCCCGTGCCATGGCCTCTTCTAAATCCAGGTTAAACTTCCTGCAGTTCTCTGTCAGTGCACAGTTCAAGGCAGTTTTGGATGATTTTCAGCAATGTTTTGCTTGCATGTAATATTAATATTGGCACTGACTGGTGAGCACATCCAGGACTGCACCTGTTAGTTGAAACATGCCAGCTGGTATCCCATCAATTCCTAGGGCCTTATTTTTTGCAAGGCCTTCAATGCAGCTTTAATTTCTTCCTTCATTATCATTATCATGTGGTCATATGATACTGCCTGAAATATTTCAGTGTCAATTCTTTTTGGTACAGTGGCTCTGTGTAGTCAAGGCATTTATGGATTATAACAAACTGTGGTAAATATTGAGAAGAATGTGAATCCCAGAACTTTCATTATGCTCACATGAAACATATGCCTAAACCACAAAGCTGTTGTCTAAAAACAAGCAAGGAAACATTGCACGGTTTAAAATCAAGAAAGATGTGCATCAGTGCTTTATCGTTTCTCCTTACTTAATCTGTATGCTGAGCAAATCATTCAAGTAGCTGGGCTCTATGAAGAAGAATGCATCATCAGGATAGGAGGAAGATTCATCAACAACCTATGTTATGCAGATGACACAATCTTGCTTGCTGAAGGTGAAACATTTGCTGCAGAAGATCAGACTATAGCCTTCAATATGGAATTAATCTCAATATTAAGAAGACCAAAAAAATCACCACCAGCAGGCTTATAGGAAACATCCTGACAGATGGAGAAATGACTGAAATTGACAAAAACTTCATCTTATTTGGATCCACAACCAATATCATTGGCATCAGCAGTCAAGGAATCTTAAGACAGATATTTTTGAAAAGTCTGCTGTCCGAGATTTCTCCAAATTAATGAGGTTCAACGATGACAATTTAAGGACTAAGGTGTGCCTGGTCTCTTAAATCAGTTGCTATGCATCTGAGAACTGGACAATGACTAAAAAAGGATGACAGAATAATCAATGCCTTTGAGTTGTGGTGTTGGATAAGTGTATTGAATACCCCGCTGACTCATAAAAGAACAGGTATGTCTTTGAGAAAGTGCAGCCAGAGTAAACCTTACAGGAAAAGCTGGCAAAGCTTAACCTCATATACTCTGGCCATGTTGTTAGGAGGAGCTCTTTCTTAGAAAGACATATCATGCTTGAAAAGGTGGAGGGCCAGCAAAAGAGAGAAGACCCTCAACCAGATGGTTTATTACAGTTACTGCAGCAATGGACTCTTATGTCAGAGATGATGAAAATGGCACAGGATAGGACAGGGTTCGGGTCTGTTGTTCACAGGCTCACTGTGAGACTTATTTGACTAGACAGCATTTACTAACAGCTCCCCTATTCCCTGTGCACAGGCCATTGGACATGGACCACGACCATCACTGAGAGCTCCCCTGAGGAATGGAAATAAAAAACACCTCTAAAATGAGGGAAAGAATGAGTAGATAAAAGGTTTTTTAGTTCAATACCCTACTAGAACTATTGAGCCTAAGAGGGAGTGTCCCATAGGTGCTGGGCAAGAAAAGCTCAAGCCAAGTTATATGTATTATCTGTCTCTCAATGTCGTTGAGTCGGAACTGACTCATAGCAGACTCTCCATTGGGTTTCAGAAGCTATAAACTGCACAGAAGGAGACTGCTTGTGTTTCCTCCTTGGAGCCCCTAATGGATTTGAATTGCCAGGAAGGCATGGCCTTTAAGCTAGCAGCACATATATTATAGGCGAATATATAAATTAATTCATAATATTTATGTTAACATCATGGAATAAAAACAAATAATGTATATAATATTAACATAAAATATGTTGTTGTTGTTGTTATGTGCCATCGAGTTGCCTGGGACTCATACTGACCCTATGTACAAGAGCCCTAAACCCTGTTCTATCCTGTGCTAATCTTACTGTCTCTGACACATCTACCCCTATTACCCCAGTCACTGAATCAATCCCTCTCATAGAGAGTCTTCCTCTCCTGCACGGTCCCTCCATGAACATGTCCAAAGTATTTTAGACAAAGCTTCAGAATCCTTGCATTCCAGGAGCAGCCTGGTTTCACCCTCTCTAGGGTGAATTGTTTGCTCTCTCAGCACCACCACTCAAAGGCATCAATTCTCCTTCTATTATAGTAAATATTAAAGTTTTGAAAGTATACAAAATTATAGGTTTTTGGTTTTAATGAGTCGTTTTGGGTTTTTTTAGGGGTTTTTTTTTCTTCTTCTTGATTTGGTGTTGTTGTTGTATACTCTTGAGTCGTATCTCACTGGCACAGAAGGAGATTGCCCCTCATTCTCCAGAGGAGCATCTGGTTGATTCAAACCACACGTCTTCAAGATTGCAACACAGCTTCTTGCCACTAGGCCACCAGAACTCACCACAAATATAGTTTTTAAGATATGTTCTATTGAGAATATCAGAACAGACACAGCATATTTTTATTAAAGTATAAGACTGCCTAATTTGTTTTTAACTAAAAAAAAGTAAGCTGTTATGAACATGTAAATACAAATGATGATAGGATAGATTAGGGTTTTGGAAAACATTGTTCAGCACTCCTTATCTATTATATATTGGCACACATCCTTAGAAGCAAATAGTTATAAATACTGTTGTTGTTGTTGTTGTTGTTATGTGCCGTCGAGTCGCCTGCGACTCATAGCGACCCTATGTACAACAGCCCTAAACTCTGCTCTGTGCTGTGCCAATTGCACCGTCTCTGACACTCCCATCCCAATTATCCCAGTCACTGGATCAATCCACCTCATAGAGGGCCTTCCTCTCCTGTGCTGTCCCTCCACCCTCCCAAGCATGATGTCCCTCTCCAAGGACCGGTCTCCCCTCACAACATGTCCAAAGTATGTTAGACGGAGCCTCAGAATCCTTGCCTCCAAGGAGCCACCCAGTTTAACCCTTTCCAGGACAAGCGTAAGTAAGTCAGGACACTACAAATAACACTCAAACACATCTTTTTATTACATACTAAATTTAAAAATACAAATCTTATTAAAAATGCTTATCAAACATTGTTTACATAAGTACTATCAAATACTATTGGATTATGACACTGAATACATTTGCTAAAGTTAATTAGAAACTGAACAAATGATAATGATTTCAGAAGTCAAATATTTTAAAATTTGGCAACTGTAACGTAGTGATATGCACAGGAAAACGTCTGCAGAGGTAAGAGAAAAAACAACGGAATAATGCAGCTATGCTTGCCCTAAATGTCAGTAACTAGATTTCTTCCTCATCCACTTAAATGTCACTATAATAAAAATTAAAGTGCACAATACCATCAGGAATACTTGTTTTGGTTACACCTTAAAACATATATTACACAACATCAAACTGTACTGCCACATTGAGAGTTTTGACTCTTTAAAACCATTCCTGAGGCTTTAGAAGTTAATTTTGAATATAGGTAAGGGAAAGGAGGCCAACACTTTCTAAATTGCACCAAATGGCCTTAAAGTGTAAAAACATTGAAGACAAAAATAATAATAATTTGGGAATAGATTCAAGGATGCTCTCCCTGTCTATTTTATCCTAGGAACAAAATTAGGATAAGGACCTAACTTTACCTCTGAAAAGCGCTTACTAAAAATCTGTTCCAAAAGCTCAGACATATTCAGCAAGCACACAATACTGTCAGTTACTGTCCACCATTTACATACTGAATCATAAATACCAGCAATAAACATTGCTCTCTAAAGGTTCACAAGAAATACAGGTAGAAGTATGTTACTACTTGACACCAATTTTACTAATTACCATTATAATTTGTAAAAATAGATCACCATGATAAAAAAAGAAAGAAAGAAAAGGTAAATCTGCTAGTCTACAAAAGTGCTCCTTTTAACTTTCAAACCCAACGGCGTAATTTTGGGTAAAACAAGATTGTAAAGTAAGGCCATCAGTCCTAAATAGGCTGATGATGCCATATATATACATAGTCACAAATATATGTTTAAATTTCAGTTTTGATTTAACACTAATGTACTTGTACAAACCATTTATATGAAACATTTCATCAGGCATATTTACAAACACACAATGAATGACAAAAATATGGAAATTTTCAAAACTGCTGATAATTATAGAGATTTAGCAATACAGCTCACTAAAAATAAGACAAATACGCAGACAAATATGCATATGAAGGAAAAGTATAGAAAGAAACCTCTAGCACATGTATCTACTGGTCATTGGACCTAAGAAACTAATAAGTGATCATGATTAAGCTTCTATTATTGTTTCTTTTAATAATGTAATCAATGTTGAGTTCTACTTAGAGTACTACCTACAAACACACATCCTCCCACGATTCGATGAGAATATTAAATTATTCAATACATTTTTTTTACTCTTGTGGCACATCACACTTGGTAACACTAATAAGGTAAATTTAGATAACACTTAAATCATGATTACGAATGTTTAATTGAATATTTCCCTTTCTGTAGCTGTGAAATGTAAAGCTTAGATTTGCTTCCATCAGGCCTCTTAAACCAAACTTCATCATGGTTAATTGTTGTAATTACGGCACTAAAAAGGAAAAAGAACAGAATGAATGAATGCATTGCAACGTTTCCCACTCATTTTACAGTATAGTACTAACTACAAAACCTTTCAAAATGGACCAAGAAACCAAAAACAGACTAGACTACAACAATGGATTCAGATACATAATTGTCATTTACCTGATTGCTGTGCCATCAACACATGCTGTCAAAAATATTTCAGAAATAATCTCCTTTCTTAGAAGAGTTTTCCATCAGAACTGTTAAATATATAGTGTTCCTTTCCAACTCTCTACCTCCCCCAAAAAAGAAAGAGATAACACCAACTACTATATATGCAGAAGTATGTCTCCAATTTACATCAACCCAAATCCCAATTCTACTATGATTTGTAGAATTTTTACACAATTAAAGTTTTTAATCAATCCACACTTAGATTTTTATGCTATTTGATCTCTTTTTATAAATTCTTTTATGCTAAGTAATACCAAAACATCTCAAAAGCCAAGGAATAAAAAAATTAAGGGAACGATTGAAGTATATGATATATAATAAAGTTCTATAAGCTTCTATGATAGAAGTTACTATATATAATGCTCTTGAAATCCTAAAAATGAAAAGATGAAACTATAATTGGTTATAATTTTAATCATCATAAAATTATTAAAACCACTGTATTTGAAAGATGATTATTCTAGCCTAAACCTAAATACTTTTTGTACTACAAATTCCTAATTATTTAAATATTTTCTTACTTTAGAAGGTATACTACTCTGAGAATTCGATCTTAAACTACTGAAGTAATAAAAGCAGTGATTAATAGAAATACTTTCCATAGACCACAGCAAATAACATTTAGAAGCCTACATAAATAATTATTGTTGCTAGGTGCCACTGAGTTGCCTATGACTCAATGACTGTGACAGATCTGAACTGTGACCTATCCTGTGACATCCTTACAATCTCTGATAGACTCAAGCCCATTGTTAGAGTTATTGTGTCAGTCAATCCATCTTGCTGGGTGTCTTCCTCTCTTTCTCTGACCTTCCACTTTTTAACAGAATAATGTGCTTTTCCAAGGACTGGCTACTCCTGACAGCCTACCCAAAATATGGGGATGAAGTTTTTCACCATCCTTGATTCTAAGAAGTACCCTGGCTGCCTTCCTCCAAGACAAACTTGTTTGTTCTTTTGGCAGTCCATGGGATATTTGGGACTCTTCTCCAATATCATGGTCAAAGGCATCAATTTTGTCATCTTTATTCATTGTCCAATCATTGGGCATTACCAATTGGTTATTCACTACTTCATTTCTTGGCTTGGGTCATATGCAACTCAGTCTTTAAACTGACATCTTTGCTCTTTAAAACAGCGGAGAGGTCCCTGACAGCAGATTTTCCCAATGCAAAACACCATTTGATTTGATTGCCGTTACTATGGGTGTTGATTGCGGATCCAAGTAAAATGATATAAATCATTGACAACTTCAATCTTTTCTCCATCTATCACAATGTTGCCTATTGGCCCAGCAGTGAGGAATTTTATTTTCTTGATGCTGAAACATAATCCTATGGAAGGCTTTTAATCTTTCATAATTATATGGTAGTCTTTGATCTTCTGCAATAAATGCTTCAAGTTTTCTTTAAGCAAACGTGTGTCATATACATAACAGCCTGTTGATGAAACTGCCTCTAATTCTGATGCCACATTCTCTTCATACAGTTCAATTTCTTGAGTAATTTGTTCAGTATACAGATTGAAAATGTACAGTGAAAAGATAGAACCATGACACATTCTTCTCAATGTTAGCCATAATTTGTTCTGATACATACAGTCAAACGTCTTTGCACAGTCAATTAAACACAGATAAACATCTTCCTGGTACCCTCTGCTTTCAGCCAAGATCCATCTGATGTTGTTGCTGTGTATCATTGAGTCAGAACTGATCCATAGTTTACCCTCCAGCAGGTTTTCAGAGGTAGTTAATTGCACAAGAGGAGATTGCCCATCCTTCTCCCAAGGAACAGCTGGTATACTCAAACTGTGTGCCTTCAGGATTGCAGCACAGATTCTTGCCACTAAGCCATCAGAGCTCCCTCATCTGATATTTGCAATGATGGACATCCTTGTGCCATAGCTTCTTCTGAATCCAGCTTGAATTTCTGGAAGTTCCCTGTCAATGTACTATTCTGTTTTTTAAGTCTTCACTAAGATTTTACTTGCATGTGATATTAATGATACTGTTAAATAATTTCCACATTCTGATGCATCACCCTTTTTAGGAATGGGAACAAATACAGATCTCTTCCAGTCAACTATCCAGGTCCCTGTTTTCTAAATTTCTTGGCACAGACAAGTGAGAACATCCAGGGCTATAGAAATATGTCAATTGGTACTCCATCAATTATAAAGGCCTTATTTTTTCCAATGTTTTCAATGTAACTTGAATTTCTCCTTCATTACCACTGGTTCTTTATCATATTTATATGCCACTTCCTGAAATGTTTCAGTGTCAACTAATTCTTTTTGATACACTGACTCTATGTAGTCCTTCCATCATCTTTTGATGCATAATTTAAAAATTTGCCCATGGAATCCAGTCTTCCAACTCGAGGCTCAAATTTATTTTTTATTATTTAAACTTGAGAAATGTCAAATGTGTGTTTTTTCCTTTTGATATTTTAACCCCAGGTAAAATGCACATTTCTTTATAATACTTTGCTGTCTTCTTGAGCTGCCTTTGGGAATCTTCTGTTCGTCTCTTTTTACTTCAGCATTTCTTCCTTTGTTTTGGCCTGTGTTCTAGTACAAGTTTCAGAGACTCTTTTGACACCTATGTTGGCCTTTTTTTCCTTCTCTGTCTTTGTAATTATCTTTTGCTTTCTTAATGATGATAGCCTTGATGTCTTTCCGCAATTCATCTGGTCTTTGATCATTTGGTGTTCAATGCATCAGATCTATTCTTGAGATGGTTTTCAAATTCAGGTGGGATAGATACAAATAATCATACAGAATTTATTTAAGCCTAGATAGAGAATTGTAACTTTTAAAGCAATATTCCATTTTCAAGAGCAAGGAAACACTGAATGGTTCAAAATCAGGAAAGGAGTGTTGTCAGGGATGGATCCTGTCTCCAAACCTTTTTCAATCTGTATGTGGAAAAGATCATTCAGGAGGCTGGACTTCATAAGGAAGAATGTGGCATCAGGATTAGAGAAAAATTCATCAACAACCTGTGTTATGCAGGTGACACAACCTTACTTGCCGAAACTGAAGAGGATCTGAAGCATTTGTGGCAGAAGGTCAAGGACTCGTCTTCAATATGGATTGAAGAAGTTCAACATCAAGACAACAATTCTCACCACTGGGCCAACTGACAGCACCGTGGTAGCTACGGAAGAGATTAAGGTTAACAGTTTCAGCTTGCTCAGCTCCACAATCAACGCTCTTGGCATCAATAATCAAGAAATTAAAAGACGAATTGCATTTGGGAAAGCTGCTGTCAAGGACCTCTCCAAAATGCTAAAGAGTAGTGATGTCTGTCAGTCTAGATATTGCGGTGCACCTGATTCAGGCCATAGTCTTCTCAATTACTTGCTCTGCATCAGAAAACTCAATAATGGATAAGAATGATAGAAGAAGAATTGACGCCTTTGAATTGTGGTGCTGGAGAAGAGGACTGAACATACCATGGACATCCAAGAGAACAAACAGGTCTGTCTTGGAAAGGGTGAAACCAAGTTGTCCCTTGGAGGCAAGGGTTTTGAAGCTCCATCTCACATACTTTGGACACTTGGTCAAAAGGGACCAGTTCTTGGAGAGGGACATCATGATTGGAAGGGTGGAGGGACAGCCCAGAAGAGGAAGACCATGGAGGAAATAGACTAACACAGTGACTGGGGCTAGGTGTGTTGGGACAGTGAAACGACAACGTTCGGAGCTATTGTGCACAGAGTTGCTATGAGTTGCAGGTGACTCAATGGCACATAACAACAACAACAACAACATTACTCTTGAAAATGTTTCTTAAGTTTTCTTTCTTTCTCATTCTAATGGGGGGGGAAGTGTTTTATTGAAATTACTGTAACACATTCAGCAAGTTCCAGATTACTAGGATCATCAAAAATTGTAATAGCTTGATTTAACAGTCAGTGGTAACAAACTTCTACAATAAGAATTAACAAATAGGATCACTTTGCTGAATAATCCCAACATTTCCATTGTGTTTATGCTTTTCTTTCTCAACTTATTATGCAACCCTGATGTCTGAATATTAATGTTAGTGCATGCCCACATTAACCAATCGATAAGTCAAGTGAAGAGACAATCACAGGCAACCAGTGATGCACTATGAATACACTGTTAATGCAGCATCTGTTGACAACAGCACTGTACACCAGAATACTGTGTCGGATCAGGCAATGGACAAGGCAAGCACAGGCTTATCTACTCATCTGTAGTGAACAATTTCACATTTCCCCACCACTGTAAGATTCTGTTTCTAGGTAGAGCTGGTAACTGTCTATCAGCTCTACTGCAACTTTCCACAAAATCAAAGCCTTTTTTAAAATCCCTGAGGTGAAAACATGGCCAACTGTTTACAAACGATTATTTAAATAAGCACAAGTAAACTTAGGGCCTACTTCTTTTTTTGTTTTCTTATTGAGTAATCTGCCCCTGCTAACAGTGAGCAACAGTGCAATGATAAAGGTGATTTTACCTTGTAGGACATTCATCTTTTTTATCAATACATATTGTTTGTCCACGTATATACCATTCACCATCATAATATAGCCTTCCTTCTTCAGACCTAGCACTGTGCAGGTGTTTTTCCAGTTTCACAGGTGCTAAAGGGATCAGTTCAAAAACTGTTATATTAATAAAACATTGTCAGAAAAAGAAAAGGATCAAAACATGAAAAATTAACATAATCCATGCAAAGATATTAGAAAACAAACAAAAAACCCCTCACCATTTTTAAACAACTTAAAATGTAACACAAACAACAGAAATTTATTTCTTATATTCTTATCTACAATTCACTAGGTTTATGGTGGGCTAGTGTTAAGGAGCTGCACTGCCAACTTGAAGGCACAGAGTTCAAAGCCACCAGCAGCTCTGTGGGTAAAAAGATGGGCAATCTTTCATTTGATTTATTGTTTCTAAAAACCTGATGGGTCAGTTCTGACTCAATGTAACAGCATAACAATTACTAAATAAAACTAAGCAATGAACACCAAATCATTAATTAATTGGACAAGTGGTTGAGGAGAGAAAAAAAAGTAGTACCAATTACCAACGTCAATTTTAAGTATGTCAATTTAAAATGTCAATTACTATATTTATTTCCTTTGAAAATGTATTTCTCTTATTTTCTTCTCTGCAGGCCCTTCTGTACTTCAAAAGAAGCAGGATTTAATGTCAATTCCAAATGTTTCATAGGTCTTTAAATCTATAAAGGGAGTTGTTCTTAGAACTTCCATTTTAAAATCCTAAAAATAGTTTAGCAAAATCAACAAACTTATGCCAAAAACAAAAATAAAATGTTCTTTACAGAAGCTCATTACCAAAAGCACACCATAAACTAAATGTCTCTTCATTATTCATATTAATTATTAAAATTATTCCTCAACCACTCTACCTATGTCTCAGTTAATCTTCATTACAACCTTATATTCCCATCATAGAATTTATCACAATCTATCATATTCTTGTCAATTATGTTTACCTATATTATTTGGCCTCATCTAATGAGGTTTAAGGAAATTCCAGGAGGAACAGCCCCTTCATTGTTGAGTCTCCAGAGCCTAAAATAGTTCCTAGTCTGTAAAATGTGTTCAACAAATAATCTACTCACACATTCATTCAACAATGTTCCCTGAGCACTTCTTTTATACTAAAAACCACGTGCTGAAAATAAAATTCTATTTAAAAGATGTCTTAAGATTTACTAGATTCAGGCCTCTGTGAAACTTTGCTTCTGGACTTTGTTAGGCCAGATAAACAGGTAAGTAATTAAGAAGTACAAATTGTAAGAAGTCCTACAAAGAAATCAAATTAGAAATAGTACTACAAAGGATCTTGTTAGGGGACTAATTAAATTTGGTACTCTCAGAGGAATCCATGACCCCACAACGTAGTTAAAAACCACTGCATTAGAGATGGCAGGAAATTGCCCTTCCCCTTAATTCCCAAAGGAACACACACCTTACATACCTAGTGAAGTGTAACTAGAAACTCCTTTTCTAGTATTTCAAATGTGTTTTTGAAAGGACTTAGTTATACTGTTCTTAGATGAGTTATGAAATCTCATCTACAGTGAGAGAAGGCAAAAATAAACTTAACCTAGCCAACAGCATGAATCACTACTCCGGCAATGTCGTCAGACTTTATAAAAATATCAAGAAATGACAGCTTGACATAAATTTTACTGAGGTATATCTTAGCAAATCTTTTTTTTTTTTTTTTTTTTTATCTTAGCAAATCTTAAGGGTAGGTAAACTTCTTTGGATAGATTCCACTACCAGCACTGTAATCTTTCTTCAGAAAAATGCATGCATAGAAAAAAATTCTGCATACAGAATAATTCCTAAGTGGTCAGAGATTCTTTAAAATCAATCATGGACTTCAAACAGCTCTTCCAGTGGATTACAATAAAAAAGACTAAATGAAAATTTATTTTAAATTATTGACTGATTATTCATAATAGTAACGTAAGTCAAATCTGGAAGACATTCTGAAATTTTTACAAGAGGTAAAAGATCTCCTAAGAATTCTTCATATTTTTAGGTACTCATAGATGAAATAAAAATTGATTGGAAAAACTCTCTAATTGTACATGGCTTAACTCTGGTTCAACAAGCCTCCAGTGAAATATTCTCATTTGGACTAAACGACTTACGTTCTGTTTTCACTCTGTGTGGACCCAGTGTAGCCATTGCCTTAATAAGAAAAGGAAAGAAGTTGTCTAAGTTCATAGCTCAATAACAAAGACAATGAAATATAAACTATATATAAACCTTAATCTGCCTTAATAAATTTTTAATGTCTAAGACCATAAAGGTCCCTAGGTAGCACAGTTTGCACTTAAACTACAAATCTAAAAGTTGGTAGATTGCACCCACCCACAAGTACAGTAGATGAGTGCTCTGTCAAGAACACAGCCAAGAAAACCCTTGGGAGTAGTTCTATTCTGTAACAGATAGGACTGCAAAACTCATCCTGATGATAACCAGTAACAACAAATTTCATAAAGAACACATACAAATAATAAAAGTTTCTCCTACAGTATTATCAATATCTGAAACAATATCTAACAACTAAGAAGTTTCTCAAAATTAAATCATTTCATAAAGAAGACTATATTCCAAATAGCAAAAAAATCCGTCCATTCTTTTTTTTAATTTTTTAATTTTATTTTATTAATTTTTTTGTGTGTACCGTCAAATCAGATCTGACTGGTACAGGAGGAGATTGTCTTTCCTTCTCCAGCAGAGCATCTGGTGGATTCGAACCATGCACCTCTGGGATTGCAGTGCCATTCTTAAATGTTTAATGATATAATACAAATCAAAATGAAGTTTTAAATATTTACTTTTGTTCATTCAGTAAAAAATATTCAAGATGCCAATCAAAAGATTAGTGGTTCAAATCCACCAATTTTTCCATAGAAGAAAGAGAAGACAGTCTGCTTCTGTTAAGATATACAGCCTTGGAAACCTGATTGCCGGGCACCGTGAGTCAAATGGATGAGAAGAAGTTGCATTGCTACTGTCTTGGGTTTTGTTTCTTGGTCTTGAGTTTTTTCCCCTGAAAGTGAGGACTGAGATAAACACGAGGCACAAATGCTGATATATTATTATTATTATGATTATTATGATTATTATTATTCAACCCAAGTAAATGTTCTGCTGCATAAATTATTATAGAGAGGGAAACAGTAAAAATCATGTCTCTAATTCTTAAATATTACAGTAGACTATTATCTGTAACAACTCTTTAAAATTTTGCAAAAGTAATTTTCCATTTCGATGTGCAATATTCATAAAAATAAAATCCTTTAAAGTAGATTAAAAAAAATTTTTTTAAGTTCCACTGCTATTTAATCATACCTTCCTAATTGTTGTCCAGTCTTCAAGAATATCAAGATCTTGCAGCATATAAACAATATATGGACGTTGAAAAGTCAAGGTAATTTCAGCTGTATAAATTCCCCACTTTGAATTACATTTCCAAAGTTCTGTTTTTCAGAAAATGAAACAATAGTGTGTGGATGTTATCCTCTGGTATGCTAAATTCTGATGTCAAATTATTCTTTTAAAAACCCACACTGCCATGCTCTCTTTGGCAGCACATACACTAAAATTGGAACGATACCGAGATTAGCATGGCCTCTGCACAAGGATGTCACACAAATTCATGAAGCATTCAATATGGTTTTGGTTTTTTTTTTAAAAAAAAGAACATGTTGTCAAGCTGAGTCATTTAACGACTTTCAACCTCAACCTCCTGGGGCCTATAGATTTAAACCTTTTTAAAATATGTATAAATTATAGTTGGCCTGTACAGCTGTTTCATAACCCACTCTCGTAAAATCTGTTGCTTCTAAACACAACTAGAGCACAATTTTGGCATCTTATGAGGGAAAAAATATGACAGTTTATGACTGTGGCCCTGTTTATTACCTAGCTCGTCTTTCATGCCTTAAATTTTAGTCTTCACTGTGCCAATCTAACCATACTTTACAGGATTCTATTTTTTGGTTTTGTATGTATCTGTGACGTTATTTTTAAATCTCATTTAAAATTAACCTAGCTGCTACTCCTTGTTTTTCTTTTCTTATTAAAAAGTCTTCCTTATTTTAGAGAAAACTGTACATTTAGACTACATATCTTAAACTTTATTACTTACCAAAAATAAATTTATTACTTACAACACTATATGCCCACAAGATCTATCAGGTCAGTACTGTATTTTAAAATTCCTTACATGATTTTACAGTTAAAGTAATTTGTCTTTAAAAAAAAATTCTGCCTTTCAAGTTTGTTTCTGAAAACTACTGTTTGAGCACTGAAACCTTAAAAAACTGCCCAACCAAATTCTCTGTAAATGTTCACTAAAATTATTAAAAAAAAATTTTTTTAAAAAAAAGAGACATCTTGGGAAAGTCTTCAGTCAGGAAACTCTCCGAAGTACTAAAGAACACTGATGTCCGTTTGAAGATAAGGTGTGTCTGATTTAGGCCATGGCCTTTCCAGTCACTTGCTATGCATCTGGGAGCTGGACAGTAAATAGAATCCTTTGAGCTGTGGGGTTGGAGAAGAG